CAAAGCTTCTGAGGAAGTGGTTGAAGGTGCCAATGAATCGAGGCATCTTCAAGTTCGATTTCAATAATGTGCACAAAATTGAGATGGTCGTCTCAGGCAGTCGACCGAACAGAGAACTCCAGCCCGGAATGTACTTTCTCAGAGATGGTAATGGTGTTCGAATGTTGAAACACAAATGCAGTTTAATGGCTAGTTTTACAGGAACACATGAACTCCGAGGGTTCGTTCCTATCAATGACATCGGGGAGAGCAGCTTGGAGAAGCTCGGCTGGATGCGCTATGCGGACGGTAAATGGGACATACGAAACGGCCTAGTGAAAATCAAGCAGGCTCATGTGAGTGCACCTGACCTCCTTTCGTCACTTTCCTCTATTTTCCGCTTGCTCATACTTTTTTCTGAAGCGTTCTTTTTTATCGCGCACCTAAACCTCCTGGTACCTTTCCTCTGGTGGTGCGCTCGCACGGGGAGAGAAACGGATCACTGCCTTTCCAAGTGTGGAAGAGGGCAGATAGCCGAGTCACCGTGGTAGCCTTACTTTTGAAGCGTGGTCCACTGCGACTCGTTAGCGCTCGTGTCCCATAACTCATTTTCGTCGCTCCTGCCGCCCATCGATACTGCCCACCCGTTGATCCACTTACAGCAGCCATAGTGTCAGTGACCACGGGAGTAGCTTTTTCCGTCCAGGGTAGGGTAACGTCAAAGCAGAAAAACTGAACCTCTTCTCTGAACACCAGTTCCCTCCCCCCTCTACTGCTAAAAATTCATTAGGCTAAAGAACTTCAGTAAAACTTCATAAAAGCTCGTTTTTGTAAAAAAACACTGGAATATAAACTGAGTTATCTGACCTGAATACTCCGGTCTCCATTACTGAGAAATCGTTTACAGCACGTGAACGTAGCAGACTGCAAGCAACAAGTCTACACGTCAACTATAAACGGAGAGCAGATGGTACTGGTATCTGGAAATGACGTCGACGAGAGTTACGATCTCGGTAGGTCATACAATGTGAATTTTGCCTGGCCCTAGAGAGAGAGAAAGAGAGAGAGAAGCTCTCTACATGCTTAGCAATTCTGTACTACATCTGATGTTTTCTTCCCTAAGGGAAAAGGTGAGAAATTGACCATAATCGCTGGGAGGAGAAAGTCAACCTCATTGAAGTCCTCTTCGCTATATCTTCCAAGAACGATGGAGGCGCAGTGGATGACTGTTTGTGTCTGTGCGATCAACGTAGATTGTCTGCTTTCAGAGTATACGTAGTAGAAATTTCTGCCTCCTAATGAGTGAACCGTGTTAGGCCACGCGCGGTTGCGGCGCAGCTTGAAAAAAAAAACGAAAAACCCAGTTCCAAAAGTGCGAGCGGTGGCAGCACCTCCTTCTACACCTCGTTTTTTGAGGTCCATGTCTCGCCCATAAGCGCGGCGAACATGCCTGGTTAGAGAGTAGCAACCCAAAATCAGCGAAGAACCTCACGTGCGGAGTATTTGCAGG